CGATGTGCATGAGTACGGGTGGGGGTGTGGGAAGGAGGGCTGGGTGAGCGTGAGGACGAGGCGCAGGCGCGTGACGCTGTTGAGGCTGTTGCGCGACTCCTGCGAGAGGCTCAGCTTCGCTACCGGGCCCTGCACGCCATCCGCCTCCGCCTCCGCCTCCTCCGCCGCGTGTGCTTGTGGATGTGGTGTTTTGTCGTCGAGAGAAGAGATCGACGACGCAGACGAGACGGTGAAGATGATGCCCTCGCGCTTCGACGAGCGCTGCCCGTGCCCATACCCATGCCTCCGCGCCGCCTTGTCCGTCGCCAAGTGCGGCACGATGATCTCCACCGTCGCTGGCGGTGGGTCGACGGTGTCTTGCAGCTGCGGGGTGGTGCCCAGGACATCGCCGAGCTTGCGCGCGGAGCGCATGATGCGGGTGCGTTCGTGGGCGGGGAGGAGGTTTGTCGTGGGGGGCTTTGCAATTGCGTGGACATGGCTCACGGCCACTGTCATCGCAAGGCGCGGGCGAGGCGAGGGAAAGGCGAGGGAAGGGGAAAGGAAAGACAAGAGGCAAGTTGACAGGAGTGTCGTATTGTCGCCATGGGAATACCGAATAAACGGTGATCGTGCGATTGGCGGAACCAATTCCGTGTGTGCGCGACATTGAAATTCAGCGATTCATGTTGCGTTGGATTTGGTCTGGAGCTGGTAGGAGTTGGTGGTACTTATGCGCGACGAAGGGTCGTGTATTTGACTTGATTTGAGTGGAAAATTGGGTTCAAGGCGACGCCGCGACACAAACTCGGCGAGAAATGGGTCTGGTAAGTATTGTTCGGATAGTGTGCGGGCCGGTACTGGCAACAGGTTGAGCGTTTTGCTCGATGAAGAGTGGCTGAACGGAGCTGTGGAATTGAGAAGTTGAAATGAGAACTGCAAGGTCGTGGAGGAAAGAAAAGGGAAGCGCACGTGAAATCGAAACAGTCGCAAACACATCAACGCAGCTTGCTTCTTACCTTCACCTCCACCTCCACCATTGATTCACTCCGCTGGCTCGCGCGCTCTCTGCTTCGGAGGCCGTCCTCAAATTCTGGCACGAAGAAATGCCCGGCTCTTGTCGGATGCAGGCTGGCGCTGTCCTGGTCCTGAAATTCAACGCGTTCAAGCTTTCAAGTTGAGCTTTTATTAACAGTGAATACAGTCGTAAGTCTCACCAAGTTCCACAGGTAGAAGTAAAAGCCCGGTTGCGGATGGTCTGCACCTGCACTTCTTGTAAGACACGCCCGCACGGCAACAACGAATCACGCAGGCATCGCTCGTCCGATTCGAACCCGGGCTAGATCCATCCAAAAACGACCTTTTTTCGTCCTGACTCGTCTGCGGCCTGCTCACATATATCAGAAGAACTTGATCGGTTTTCGCGAGGCACGATTTGACCTCGTCTTTCGTGCCTTTTTCCCCTTGTTTTCGCAAACCTCAGGCTTCTGTAGTTCAAAGGAGGCAGAGGCCCGGCGGCGGATGGTCCGTGCCCGCTGTGCATAGATGAGTGCGATATCATTCCTGCGGGTGTTGCTCGTTCGACTCGAGCCCCGGCCATATGCAATCGACTACGCGGTTCTTTTTATCCTGCGCTGGCCTTGACCTTGGTCCTGACTCAAAATGTCGATCTGCCGATGTCCAATAAAAGCCAAGTAGGTACCACTCGTCTCATTTGAACTCACACCAAGCTGCAGCTCCTTCCTCCAACTTCTAGGGTTCAAATCTTGGTGAGACACTGGATTTTTGCGCACGGACGATTTCGTTCAATCTGTTTCCGTTCTCAGGTCCAAAAGAATGGCCTGGCAGCGGATGGTCCGCGCCTGCATTCAATACCAAGGTATCCACCTCAATTATGCAGGCAATCGCTCGTTCGACTCGAGCCCAGGCCATAGTTTGAGATCCTGTGCTGTTTTTCTCTTTTACGTTTCTGGCGGCATGGTTGCTTATTTGAGCCGCTTAACAGGGCCCGGGGCTCGTGCCATTTCATTCTTATTCGATGTCGCCCTGTCCCGTTGCCGTGGTCCTGGAACACTTCACGTGTGTGCTCACGCTCCATTTACTCGCCAGTCTAACCAAGTTGTGCAGACCTGAATTCATGGCCTGTTTGCGGATGGTCTGCCTCTGCGTCAGATTGAAGACCCCGACAGAGTTTCCTCAGCAGGTGTCGTTCGTTCGACTCGAGCCCGGGCCTTGATGACTGGGAATATCTGGGATTTTTGGCCTTCCTTGCGCCAACGTGGTCGTGAGTCCTATAGCGCCGCCCCATATGTTTCTCAAAGATCCAGAAGTCGCAAGTCTTTGAATTCACCCTTTCGGCGAGAACCTTCTTCTGCCGGTGCTTGAATATTTTCGTTGATGTTGAAGTTGAAAGAATATATAGCTAAAGAATGGCCCGGCGGCGGATGGTCCGCACTTTTTACTTACGCTCGTTGATCTTGATTCAATTTTCTGATGTTCAATATAACTTAGGCAGTCACCGCTCGACTGATTGGAGCTCAGGCGTTCCTCCGTCAGACCCTACAGTTCACACCTTGGTGGGTGACAGGTCCTTCTTGCATCCCTAATTTCACTCAACAGGTTTGGTTACGTGCTATCCCTGGCCCTGGACCTCTCCACGCACATTCCATTTACTCGTCAGTCTGACCAGGCCGAAAGTCATGGCCCGGTTGCGGATGGTCCGGCCCTGCATCAGATGCAGCGCAGTCACAGCCCAACTCCGTCAGCAGGCGCTGCTCGTTCGATTCGAGCCCGGGCCTCGGGTTGTCTTCTACATCGTTTTCTGGCCTTCCTTGCGCCAACTTGGTCATGAATCCGCTTAAATTCATTAACCTTGAGGCCGCCGCCCCATTTTCCTTGACGATCCAGCAAGCAGCGTAAGTCCTCGAATTCGAGAGAAGCGCCCTCTCTGCCAGTGCCTGGATGATGTTCTTGGAAGCCGTTGAAGATCAAAGGCATTAGAGCAAGGCCCGGCAGCGGATGGTCCGCGCCCGCTGTGCATGCGAGTATTGCCTGCAGCATCATTTCTGCGGGAGACGCTCGTTCGACTCGAGCCCGGGCCATAGGTAACCCAGCAGGCGTCTTTTTTATCCTGCGCTGGCCTCTGTCCTAATTCTTAATCTGATTTTCAACGAAATTCAGACAGGCAGGGACATCTCTCATCTGACTGGAGCGGAGGATAATTCTGTGATCCCTCCGTCAAATCTCACAGTTCACACCTTGGTGACACTTCCTGTGTTCTGCTGTTTTTTGTGCATCCTAATTTCACTCAATCCGTTCAGATATCTGGGTACCACTCTGGTAGCGGTCGGGCTCCATTTCCCTATGTCGTGTCTCCTGGCCCTGGAAGTCTTCGTGTGTGGGAATTTCACGCGGCCACGGCGTTCCAGTTACTTGCCAGTCTAACCAAGTCGTGCAGCCCTGAAGTCATGGCCGGGTTGCGGATGGTCTGGCGCTGCATCAGATTCAGGACCCCACCAAAACTTACTCAGCAGGCGTTGCTCGTTCGATTCAAGCCCGGGCCTTGAGCATTGGGATAAGCACCTTTTTTTTTGGTGTTCCTCGCGGTAACTTGGTCATTAATCCGCTTAAATTCATAACCTTAAGCATGTCGCTGGCCCAGTTCAGAAGTCGCAAGCTGAATTCGACCTTTTGGTGAGACACTCCTTCTGCCAGCGCTCGAATAATTTCGTTGATGTTGAAGTTGAAAGAATATAGAGCTAAAGAATGGCCCGGCGGCGGAGGGTCCGCGCCCGCTGTGCATTTACGTGACGCGCAGTATCATTTCCGCGGTTGTTGCTCGTTCGACTTGAGCCCAGGCCATAGAAGTGGTAATTGGTTCTTTTTATCTTGCGCTCGCCTTGGCCTTGGTTATGATTCAGAATGTTGATTTGCCAGTGTCAAATAAACCTAGGCAGACACCGCTCATTACTAGCTGGCCTGAGACCAATCTCCAGCTCCTTGCTTCGAATTTCTGGGTTCAGAGTTCAATTTTCAGTGAGACACTCGATTCTCACGCATGCCCGATTCCGTTCAGCCTGTTTCCGTTCCCAGGTCCAAAAGAATGGCCTGGAAGCGGAAGGTCCGCACCCGCAAGCAATGCTTGGCGTTTATGAATTTGTGCGAGGGAGCTCATTCGACTCGAGCCTAGGCCATAACTTGAGAGCGTGGGCTTTTTTCTCTTTTCAGTTTTTTTTCGCCGCATGGTTGCTTATTCAAGCTGCTTTTTCCTACACGTGCTCCAGCAGTTTCCTCGGCCATTTCATTCAACTTGTTCGATGCCGCCCCCCGTCACCGTGGTGTTGAAATACTTCACATGTGCGTGCTTCCATTTACTCGCCAGTCTAACCAAGTTGCGCAGGCCCGAAGTTTGGCCCGGTTGCGGATAGGTTCATAAATCCGATGGACTGTACTCAGCAGGCGTTGCTCGTTCGATTCGAGCTCGGGCCCTGGATTGTAATTTTATGACACCTTTTTTGGCCTTCTTTTCGGCAGCTTCATTGCGAATACGGTCAAGTTTATAGTATGAAGCACGCCGCCCCCTTTCCTCGACGATCCAGACGTCGCAAGTCTTTGAACTCGCCCTTTCGGCGGGAAGTTCCTTCCTTATGCCAGCGCTTGAATCTTTTCGTTGATGTTGAAGTTGGAAGAATATGTAGCTAAAGAATGGCCTGGCGGCGGAGGGTCCGCGTCCGTTGTGAATGAAAGTTGCGTGCATCATTATTTGTGCGGATGTTGCTCGTTCGACTCGAGCTCGGGCCGTGATCTGTGGCAGCGGTGTTTTTGTACCCAGTTTCGATGCACTGAAAATCTGCTCAGCTAAGGTAGACGTCAGTCAGTTCTAAATCCTGCATCTATTAACGTATCTAACTCTTACTCAAATCTTCCGGCACCGGGGCCTTGAGACAGCCATAGAATTCGGTTTGCGGTAATCGGAGACGCATGCCCAATTTCGTTCGACCTGTTGTTCCCAGGTGCAAAAGAATGGCCCGGCGGCGGATGGTCCGCGCCCGCTGTGCATTGACGCGATGTGTAGTATTATTTCTGCGGGAGACGCTCGTTCGATTCGAGCCCGGGCCATATATGCTCATCCTTTTTATCCTGCGATCGCCTCTGTTTCGAATATTCTGCTGATGTTCGAGTGGGGAGTTTAGGCAGGCAGGGTAAAACCTCGTCTGACTCGAGGGCGTCGATGTCATTTTAGTGGATGGCAGTCCCGCATTTATGCAAACACTCTATTCGTTTATACCCGTTCTGTACTTTAAAGCTTCGTGCATGTGTCTTAATTTCTTGGGAACCCGCCGATTCTGTTTTAATGAGGTTGATGGCTCAAATGATTACTTCCGCTGTTTTATTTCTAACTGTATCTGTAGTTCAACCTTACCAGCCGGTAGACGTTGAAAATCTGTGAGAAGGAGATTATCCTCTCAAGCTGTTTGATTCATTTTGGGAAGTGGTCACGGTCCGATCCGTTCATCTGAAATTGGTGTGTGGTCGAGGATAACGGGATGTTGGGTAACCCGCCACGAGCTATGGTGATGGTATATTTACAGCAGCTTGCGGCGTAAGGCGAATAAGATGTCATCGTCGCTCGGCTACACGTTCTTCAGTCTCGGACATGAACAAAGTAAATGCACGACGCACAGAATCCAGTGCCCTCGAGCGCAATTCAATCCCCAAGTCACCGCAACGAGATTTCAATGCCGCGAACCCGGGGTGCTGGACTGATCCCACCCATACCAGGACCTGAAGGTTGGGGAAACTGTCCAGTTGTTGTGTTAAATGCCCGACTGGGGTGTACGACATCTCCCACAGATGCGGACCGCGAGGGTTTGTGACCACCAGCGTTGTGATTGTTCGCGGGATCGCGGGGACGAGACGGTCGGAGGGGAGGGCCTGACATTCGAACCGCTCAAGATGTGTGCAAAGGTCGAGCACATGCGGATCCTCGAGTGCCCCGGGAACCGAGATGGAGCGCAGATGACGGCCGCAACTGGCTAGCACAACATGCAAGTTCTCTGGTTGCCCTTTGGAAATGGTATGATGGTACAACTGGAGCGATCCACGGTCTCTGCGACCTTGGGTGAGAGATGAGATGAACGTGCTGGTATCGGTGACCCGTTCCGAGTGGAATCGAAATGCGACAAGTCCCAATCCAAGGGGTTGTGTGACTGTGCTGGGTATGTCAGGGATGGTACGGTAGTCATTGGCCGTGACGTCGAGCATTTGAATCGTCGGAAGAGCTGCAATAAATCGGATAACATCTAGCCATGCTGGGCGGCCCATTGCGGTACGAGGGCCGGTCTGATCTGCATTAATGCGCAAAGATCGGATACTGGGCCCGGAATTTCGAAGCTGCCTGAATTCTGCCTCGCTAAAGCGACACACGGCACCAGATATATCCAGATCCCGTAGATTTCGCAGAATGGTGAGGATTAAGAGGATGTGCTGCATTTTCGTGGATGAATGTGGTCGTAGTACGAGGCTGCGAACATTTCGGGCGAGCCAGCGCGACTTTGCCGTGTGGCCCGTGACGATTTTGAAAAAGGAGGTGAATTTGTCGCTGGATTGAGGCAGCCTTGGTACGCCTCGCACTACATCAAGGATGGCCCATTCGTTGTCGACGCTGACGCGGCGGAAAAGTAGCCGCTGAGCGTGGGGAGACCAGCTTCTGCAGACCAAGCTGCACGCAAGCAGGGTCGCACGGTCTGGGAGATGGTTGTTGGGGAAGGCCAGCGGGATATCAAAGAGACCCAAAACTTCCGAGAGAAGTTCTGGGGAGGAGTCCAGCATCTTTGGCAAACTTCGACCTTTGCTCGTGGGGGCCAGGAAAGAAGGGCGGGATCAATGATCCACAGCGAATCGCCGTGGTCTGTGGCTGTCAGTGATGGAGTGACGGCCGTCGGCTACCAATCGCATCCTCGCTCCGTATCAAACCATACTTTCACTGGCATGACTTCGAAATCTAGAGGACCTGAGGTTTCATTTAGAAAAACAGTTTTTCACAACGTTCAGTTAGTTACTTGCCGGACAGAGATCCGGACTGCCTTGGATTACATGTATCATTCTGTCAGGGCATTGTCACCCATGAGGGTTCGATTTTTATAAGACAATATTCCGCACACAAACAAGTTGGGTCACTTTATTTCTTCACCGAACGCGAAGGAAGCACGGGCCTCCCTGAACAGCGGGCGCCAGTCTGGCACGAAGCTGACGTGCAACCCTTCATCTGCCATGGTCCGGAGTTCAGATGCCGCACGTTCGTCTAGGGGCTCCCCAAAGAGTGCCAAGGAGCACAGTGGTCGAGATTTCGTGGGATCAAGACGAGATCGTATCATGGCAATGAAGAGATCGCTTGGAAAGGGAGCTGTTTTGGATTTGTGACCGTAAGCGAGTGAAACAAGTTCAGGGCAGACGTCTGGAGAACCCGAGATCGTCATCGCCCTTAGAATCTGGACATTGTCTTCCTCGACATCGCTCGCCTGGAGAAGAAGATGGTTGAGCGATGGACTATTTTTCAGGAGTGATGATATCCTCTGGCGGTGGTACGAATAGCTCGGTATTCTCAGGCCGTTCTGTCAAGATCAGAGTGGCAAGTTGACAGGAAGAGCGTTGCAGGAAGGGGAGTATGGAGTTGGTTTGGCAGCAAGACAGATACTCGAGTATGGGTGCTGTGAGTCCAGCTAGGAGACCAGGGTCTTCGACGTGCAACCGGCGGAGATGTAGGAGTGTGACGGTAAACTCGCTGTCGTCGATGGAGTACGATGCCAGGGCGGCCTCGACCAGGTTCTGTGCTGCATGTAAAATCTTGAGGACCTGGTGACCGGAGTCAAGCCCACGATACCTCGTGATCTGTGCCCAAGGAACGACGAGGGGCGGGGAATAGTTGTGGAAATCGGAGTCTGTGAGGAAAATATTGCACAGCTGTGGCGCGACGAAGAAAATCTCCGATGTCGGGAAAACAGCGGAGTCCACACTGCAGTCAATCTCCACCTGCTTCAACTGCGCCAGCTGCCCATGAGCAGGACGGAAATAATCCAGCAGCACGGTAAAGGTTCTTTCCAAACAGCTGAAACGGAGGGACGCCCACCGATTGGAATGCGCAAGAAGGGCATCCAAAAGTGGAAGCATGTCGACGATGCCATCCGTCCACCATTCAAAATTCAAGTCAAGTGGGGCACTGGCGGTTCGCGTGAGCTGAGTTTGAATCATCGCCAGTGGGGGAACACGGAAGTGGTTGGCGGATTGGTAGATGGTAATGGTACTCCAGAGGGATGGGAATCGAACGGCTATGTCCCTCCAAGTCCGGGAAATATGCCCGAGATACATTGGTGGCTGATGCACAAATTCGTTCCCGTCGACCTTTGGTGTGTACGGCAGCGTCCAGGAAAATATTTCGCAAACGAGTTCGGATGGAATACGACGGACCGGGGACAACGCAGCGGGATATCTTTGGAGCTGCTTGGCCAGTCCGTCGCGTTCTAGCACAAGCCGACCCAGCGTTGCACTTAGGACGTCGATCTGGGCAGTTAAGTCATCCATTCGGACCGTGCCATGGGTAAGAAAGTCCCGAATGAGGGACATGTCGCCATCCGAGGGTGACCCGTTGGTGGACAACAGACGGTCGATGCTAATGGATCGAAGATTCGGTATCGACAGCGCGCGATCACTGGCAGTGGGCATTGCCCCGCAATTCCAGCAAGCCATCCTAGTCAAGCCCTAAAGTTGTATCAGTGAGTTGGAGTGCAGAGATACGCAAGTTCCCCCACTTACTGTTGGACAGCGAAATCCAGTTCGGATGGCTATGTTTGTCTCTCAAAACAATCGATGTCGTGTTTCGGGACAAGTGTGGGGCGTGAGAAAGATTCGCAGATGCCATCATACTGTCAAGCTACTGTGTGACTCAACTTTCCAAGCGTGACATCGTGACCTCAAACTTTTTTGAAGATCTTTTTTTCTTCTCGTTTTGCATGCCCAATTTCAGTGAATCGGTTTGGGTTTCACGGAGCGATTAGTTACGTGCTATAGCCCCGGCCCCCACCGTATGTAGCCGTAATTACGGTTTACAGCTACGGGTTTACGGTCACCGTGTTACGTGTATACTTGGTGTATACGGTGCCTTTGCGGTGCCTTACGGACCGTACATTGAAGGTAAACTGACCGATCCTGGGCACGTCTGCAGAAGAGTCAAAGACGACGCTGACGTCGGAGTCAGTTGTCACAAGCCTTGTAGGCTTAACAGAATGAACATCAGGACCATTTAGCAAGGTACAAAGTTCGAACGGCGACCTAAAGGTAAGATTGTCGGACTCGGAGTTGAAACAAGGAATTGCGGGACATTCTACCAGTGAATCCAGTACTCTGAGAACATTGAACTGAACTCTCGACTGTTGATGCACCTTGAATGCAATTAACTTTACAAACACAACGTGCTTACTAACATCGGGTAGCTGTGCCCAAGTTGAACTGATGAATCTATGGACAATGACGGTGATTTGAAAATGATTCTCCGCCAGGACGAGTATCAGAGGTCGGGAGGTCGGGACATCAGATCACCTCGACCCGGAAGCCCAAATACTGAAACTTGAACACGGCCGAGATGCCCGAATACGACGCGAAGCTTGGTAAAAGTTCGCGGTGGTAGGGGCGACGCGCTCCATGGCAGCCAGGGATAGTACATACGAGACCAGGAGCCTCATATTCTGTTTTGTCTAGAGTTTAGAATATTTGTACCTTTTTACGGCCGTAACTCACCCGTAGTCGCCGTCAAAACACCGTACCGTACCGTAAGGCCCTCTGGAAAGGTTTTTACGGTTACGATTACGGTCGAATTAACCCCGTAGCTACCGTAACTCCTATGGCCGTAACGTAACCCTATACGGTACGGTGGGGACCCCCTACCGGCCTTATACTTATCACCCAAGGGCATTGGCAAGGCACTGGGCTTGCACTGGGCTATCTTTTTTATCCTGGATTCCTGGAGGGTAGCAGGCTGCAGTTGGGCTGCAGGCAAGGTTGCGGCCATTCTTATTGAGCCAGCCAATTCACTCCAACTTTATCGAACCCTGTTTACTCTTGGT